AAGAGTGAAACACAACATTTTGTCAAACATGATAAGTTGACAAGGTTATTTTATACTAAAGTTTTGCGTGAGTAGCGATACGTATGCAGTGAGCACTTATTTTGATACCGACTGCTCTTATTTTGCGATCGACTGCACTGATTTTGCGACCGACTACCCCCCCCCCCCACATTTACGCCCCTGTCCCCTACAGCCACCGGACTATATGTGACTAATCGCACATTTATTTTTTTCAAAAGTATCGAGCAAACAAACTATACACTAAATTTCACCACTCTCTATCAGATAGAATCAAGATTATCTTGTCTCAAAGCATCGACCAATGAAATTGATTAGCTCTGCTTAGCTTTAGCTTGAAATCAGTCAAGACATTGACCTAATGAACATCTACATCAGGTTTAAACATTTATGTTCCAAAGTCTTGAGCAATCAACTTGCTTATCGCTCCTAAGCCCAGGCAGAAAATGATATAGTCAAGGTAATGATATAATGAATCTATATTCAGAGTTTCGTCACTCTCACTTCATTATAACCAAAGTTATCGTTCCCCTAAAGCATCAACCAATCAGATTGCTTATATCTGCCTACCGTAAGCAGACAATGTTCATCATCGAACACCATCAAAAGATTCACCTAATGAATGCCTACACCAAATTTGAACATTCTAGAACGAGAGTTATTGTGTTCTAAAGTTTCGACCAGTCAAATTGCTTATCGCTCTGCTTACCCTGAGCAGAAAATGCTCATAATAAAACTTAGTCATGGTATTGATGTCATGAAACTATACACCAAGTTTCATCACTCTCACTTAATTAGAACTAAAATTATCGGGTCCGAAAGAATCAACCAATCGAATTGCTTATCGCCGCTTACCCGAAGCGGAAAATGCTCATCTTCGAACTCCATCAATGAATTGACCTAATAAACATAAAACTAAGTTTGAACATTCTAGCTCAATTAGAAAGAGAGTTATTGTGTCCCAAAAAGTATGACAGACAGACAGACAGACGAACCCATTTTACTAGTCCCCTGTTTTCTTCGAAAGGCGGCGGACCAAAACTTAACTGCACACTTAAATCGTGGAATACCCACATCTGCCAAAAATCACGAATTTCTAACTTCGCACGCAAGTTATGTCCCCCTAAGAGCATCACTATTCCACACTAAACTTACCTTGTCTGTTTACTATTAGCTCCATTTAAGAACAGACACTATAAGCTAGTTAACCGACATTTTAATTCCTAAATCAACGACTGTAGTCGAAAACTCGAAGTATACTTCGATAATTTTGAAAAATATTCATTTCGCTTCAATTTAATATCATTTAGTCGTTGTGTGTATAGCAGATAGAACCACATTACAAAATACATGTAATATACTATTTTTTGGATAGGCAGCCATTTTGGACAGAGATCTATTCTCGAAAAGATAGATGTCTGTGTGCAGAACGCACGATACTCTACTAAAATCTTAGTAGTCGTCATTACTAGGAAAATGTTTGTCGAATTATTATATTGTAACGCATGGAAATAGTATGGCTATAAATTATAATAGTACGCATGCTTTGCAGGAACAGTTGTGTTCTTAGATTTTTATAGAAAATTCTATTTCAATAGATTTGAATTGCAGTTATCGAATATAATAACGGATATTGTAAACTTTATTATTCGAACAATGTATAACAAATATAAATCAAGATCTTAGCAATACGCAGGTCCCTTTGGCTTTAAAGTTAGACTGAACACATCATTCATTTGTTTATTAGAGCAGAAGCCCAGGGGGTTTTGGGGCGTGTCTGTTAGGGGTAACCCACCGCACAAACTATCTGGCAGTGGTCATTCATGACTCTGTGGTGGCACTGAACAACTCCAAAGCTGTTTTAGGTGGTACAGATTTCAGCTAATCTAGCCTAGCTTTGATCTAAATATTAGATAACTCTTGTCAAGGATACTCCACCACTACAAATGTCTGGCAATTACATAGCTCTGTAATATACTATTCAAAAAAAGTAGGGGATATTTGATTTTTAAGTGTTATTAAAGTCACCTAATGAAACTGACGAAGAAACAAATGACAAAATGAAATGAAGTTCACATTCATCGATTTATTCCAAATGATCGTTAGACTAAGTAAGGCACAGACTCACCATTATAAGGGTAAAATGATACCCGGGGTCAAACAGCAAAGTTACCACAGCATCACAACCAAGTCAGTAACGGGTAAATCCTCCTCTGTTTGCCAAACAAGCATTGATCCGACGTGGCATACTCCTAATGAGACGTCTAAGGTCATTTTGGTCCAGATTGTCCCATTCCTGTTGCAACGCAGCAGCAAGTTCTTGGACATTGGCAGGACGTTGTTGACGTTGACGTAACCTCTGTTGTTGGAGGTAACCTGTAACGATCCTGGCCCTGTGACATCTTGCGTTGTCATCCTGGAAGATGAAACGGCGGCCATGACGTCGTGCGAACGGCACAACATGGACTGCCAAGATGTTGTTCCGGTAGTACTGGCCTGTAACACGCCCTGCAACAACATGTAAAGCCGTTCTTCCAGCAACAGTGATGCCTCCCCACACCATAACAGAACCACCCCCAAATCGATCATGTCTGATGACGTTAACGTCTTGGAAGCGCTCGTTTCGACGACGCCACACCCTCCTACGTCTGTCCAAAAAATCAACAGTGAACCTTGACTCATCTCAAAACATCACATTGCTCCAGCGTCGATTATCCCAGTGTTGACGATCCCTACACCAACGACGTCTTGCCTGAATGTGATGATCTCTCAAACAAGGGATCACGCGAGGACGTCGGGCGCGAAGGTGACCCCTATGCAGTCGATTCCGAATCGTCTGGCCACTCACTCTCACACCAGTGTCTGTTTGAAGACGAGCGCTGATCTGATTTGCTGTGATGACACGATTTCTCAAGGCCAAGGTACGGATAAATCGATCCTGGGCTTGAGTTGTCGACCTGAGCGTGGTCTGTCCTGTACAGATTGTGTATCACGGTATCTGGACCATAGCCTGCTTATGACAAACTGAGAAACATTCATCGTCCGCGCCACAACCGCCTGTGTTGTGCCGATCTGTAGCATGCCAAGGGCACGTAACCTTTCATTTTGGGTAAGCCGACGCATATCAAAATTTGTTTTCTGGTCACTAAAACAATTAAACTGATGTTTCCACCCTGGAATTCAATGCCACAATGACTGTAACATTCAAAGTCAGAGTCGTGCAAATCTTGGGTTGGACCCCCATGATGATCCCAAGCATCACCTGCATTCCATGCGGTAGCTATTGGTGCGTTTGGGCGTCACATGTAACTGGAAATGTTTCTTCTGTTAGGTTCTATAGTGACTTTTTTCGTAGTCATTTGCATATTTTAGTATTATGCCCCCAAAATCAAATATCCCCTACTTTTTTTGATCGATTTGGGGGTGGTTCTGTTATGGTGTGGGGAGGCATCACTGTTGCTGGAAGAACGGCTTTACATGTTGTTGCAGGGCGTGTTACAGGCCAGTACTACCGGGACAACATCTTGGCAGTCCATGTTGTGCCGTTCGCACGACGTCATGGCCGCCGTTTCATCTTCCGGGATGACAACGCAAGATGTCACAGGGCCAGGATCGTTACAGGTTACCTCCAACAACAGAACATCACCACATTACCTTGGCCAGCACTGAGTCCCGACCTCTCCCCCATCGAGCATGTCTGGGACATGCTTGGACAGAGGTTACGTCAACGTCAACAACGTCCTGCCAATGTCCAAGAACTTGCTGCTGCGTTGCAACAGGAATGGGACAATCTGGACCAAAATGACCTTAGACGTCTCATTAGGAGTATGCCACGTCGGATCAATGCTTGTTTGGCAAACAGAGGAGGATTTACCCGTTACTGACTTGGTTGTGATGCTGTGGTAACTTTGCTGTTTGACCCCGGGTATCATTTTACCCTTATAATGGTCAGTCTGTGCCTTACTTAGTCTAACGATCATTTGGAATAAATCGATGAATGTGAACTTCATTTCATTTTGTCATTTGTTTCTTCGTCAGTTTCATTAGGTGACTTTAATAACACTTAAAAATCAAATATCCCCTACTTTTTTTGAATAGTATATATAGGAGAAAATTGGTACACTTTTCAGCTAGGTTGACCCCCTGGGCTCCCGGTCTATAATTATCATTTGAGAAATTTATAGAAATTCTGCCAGTGCCTTTATAATCCCAAACGCGTTGCGGCGTTGATGGAACGAAAGATGCACGTGACGTTATTTTCTACCTAAATAAATACTAGCGATTAAAACGCAATAAGTAAAACAAGAGATTTTCGGAAAATCTGACTTTTCGGGAAAACGGGTAAAGTAATAATTATTATTTCATCTAATTGGCAAAACAAAGTCCCCAAAACCTAATAAAACACTACGTTTACCTTCCATTTGATTGAAAACGACGAATTTGTACTGAATTGGCTATAGATTAAAACATTTTGTCTGGAGGCACCCTACTTTGTGCAACATTTTTCGGGCATCGAATTTTATTTGTGAATGCAGCTGCAACAGTCTGATTAGATGATTGGTAATCTGGTCGTTTTGGGTACAGAATCATTGGACTACTTTGAAGTTACTTTCCCCACGGACCAGAATAGCAGAAAAATGCATTAAGCTATATTAGATCACTTTTAAGTTGCTGTATTCACGGCCGTCAAATTTTCCAAATCTTGGGGGCACCGCTCTGTCGCCTTTCGCAGACGACCTGCGCCGCCGTCTGTAACCCAAAATATTTTCGGGCATTCCGGGTTCTGCCCCCCCCCTCCAACACCAAACAGTCATCGAGCACGTACGCCTATGACAATGAGTATAGTACCCGGCATATGGATGGTGCCCCCGTATAATAGGCCTTAGTATAGGCCCATCGTAGTCTACAAATAGTTGGCCCACTGATGGATTTGCTCAAGAACCCTCAGGTAGGTAACCCTTGTTCTGATTACACATACTTACTGTTTATTACTTTGCTTTTGTCGCCTCTCGAGTTATTCACGTTGCTACTATGACTGTCTGTCTCGGCATCTACAGTCTGGTTTTCTGAATCTGATTCATCCTGAAGACGGTTTGTGTTTCTTTTCCGTGGATATAAATACCATGTAAGAAACAAAATGACCAATAGAAGGAAAATATGATCAACCGCTCTTAATACCCAGTACATAATCCACAAAGACATTTTGACTCACTGATGCTGTCAAGGATGGAGTTATCTTCCCAATGTTTAACACCATGCAGTCTCAACCTGGATCTGACAATAAAAATTATGCTTTAGTTTAATATGTCATTCGTTTAAATCGAAACGCAATTATTACTGACACGTAACAATTGTCAAATAGGATATATCACTATTTGGACCCCCCCCCCCCGCTCCCCAACACATTATTTCTTAACCTTATTCTTTTTTATGGATTGCCAATCATTTAGTAGAATTGTAATTTACTTCAATACATCCATGACGATTTTCCCAAATCCAAGAGCGACAGCTTAATTCCTACAATTTAGTAAATGGCAAATCTATCACAAGTTGTCATGATCTCAAATCAGTTTCTCTATAAATATTAGTAATTCTCTCAAACCAATGATGAAATGATCTATATGTGACACTGCTCCAACAAATTATCTCAAAACACAATCATACATATAATACAAAACCAACACATTTCAGTCAACACCACTTTAACAGAATTAGCTAAGCTGGTTGTATGTTGACATATGTCGCCATAGAGTATTTGAGAAATACATCCATGGGGCGGTCTAGGAAAAAAAGTCCCTCTTGTCTTGAGTATAAAATAATCAACAAACCTACATGTACCTGTTGTTGAGGTACAGCAGTTTAGCTATAGTGGTACAATATCTGTATAAAATTGTGTATTTGGGGTCTCCGCTGACATTATGTCAATGAATCGTGGTACGGATGTAAAGGGGAACCAATTTAGAAAGAGTACACATCTACCCTATCCTTGGATCCGAACAGGTACCAATTTTACCTTGAACGCCCTCATTTGAAATTTGACCCGACATGTCTAAGGGAGGTTGTGACACTCACCTTAATTCCTAGGTCTAGAATCCATAGCATACCCCAGAGCTCACCCCACCGTTTTAGAATGTCTGCCATTACAAACAGACTTAAACAAATGGCTACATTATTGTTATATTAAAAGTGGTCGATTTCACCTTTTCAATTTGTTGGAGATCCTCTTTTTACGAAACAAGTCTGTCCGGATCCAGTTCCAATGGAGGAGGAAAAGAGTCCTCTTTCATTAGAAATAATCAAATGAACGGAAATTCTAACCTTTCTAATATGTTGAAATCTGACTTTTACAACCCAATTAGATGTGTATAACCGATCCACTTTTGTAGCTTGTCTGCAATCCTCTGTTCGATTAACAATTGTATGTAAGGCTTTATACATTTCAAAGGATCGCCTTTCAAGCCTCATAGTTATATAATTATGTGGTTGTTAGAATATGCACGCTACAATGCACAATCTCTGTATAAACATTATAACCCTTACAATATATTCTTTCAAACTGCTCAATTAAAAATTATGCATTAAAGTTATATGTTCTATAGGCCATTGTCTTTTCCAATCCGAACATTATTGTGACAATGAATTAAGATTACTGGGAGGGGAGAAAGATGGGTTGGAGCAATTGAAGTATTCAAATAGAAATGTAGCATATTTTAGTCTTGAAACAAGCAGGTTACTAAATTGTATAGGAATCAGATTGTAAGAACCGACAAGAATAGTTTGTTGTCGATATCTCTTACAGTATTGCAATCATTTATATGCTATCTAACTCAATATTACCCATAATATTACAAATGTAAAACACGAAATACAATTCAATAGTGGTCCACTTCATTCAAAAATGTTATCTTTATAGGCGTATGGAGCGGAGACGGGCAAAAACAATATTTTTCGAGCGATCATCAAATATTTCGGGTAAAGATGAAAAAAGATAAAATTTGAGTCGATATAAAAGGAAATATATGAAAATTATTCCACCCCGCAATGTATATGCCAGGAATCGAATATTGACACCAAACACTAGTACTTAATCAAAATTATCACGTCGTCCCATTTCCCCCAACAAAAATGGCCGCCATCTTGGAAATATCTTCACGAAGTGATGGAAAACGTCAGAAATATAGTCATTACCCCTGTCAATACCAATAGAGTGCCAAATCACAATTGACATGTCGATAACATTATAAATAACTTGAAAAACAGTAAGTTGGAATATTATCGCAAAATGGCTACCTTTCAAATAATGGCGACCTACTCAACATTGTTTTTTGTCATCAAACATCAAAACCTACAAACTAAAGCTTGTTCCACGATTTCTACCCGAGACTGGAGCTGGTGGATGAGGCCAAGTACCATCCCTATATATACAAAAAGGTCGTTGTAGTGTGGCGATAACAACCGCTTGAAGGTGGTGGGGAAGTGGCTGTAAATGAAATACTTGTTAAGAGACCCTCGTGGCATAGATTATGTTATCAACTGACTTCCAATCTGAATGTAGAACTAGCATGTGGAATGCTATTACGTTGGAAACATAAAGTATGTCATCACTTACACAACGACGTGGCCGGCTACTTTGACATCACTGCCACCAGTTCTTTCAATGGTGATAGCAATGATGTCATAGATGACGGGTCCCGTCGTCCTTTAAGTGATGATATGGTATATTTTGCTGAACGACTTCTGCCACACCCAGCTTGGGGTCAGTTGATAATATGCCACGAAGGTTTCTTAAAGCAAGTACATGTATTACTATTTCATTTGCAGTCCTTGTTTTTATTTCTTTGTATACTGCTTTATGTTTAATATCATATATTCCTGTGCTACTTTTTGATTTTTCAAAAGTTGTAAGTCTCACATTTTTAACTATTGTTAATTTTGTATCTATAATTGACAGACAACATAAACTGAAAGTCTCGATGGCGCCACCAAATCTTAAAATCAGACTGGAGTCCAAATGATGCAACACGATCGACCAAGTAAATGTGTTATTTTCCTCGAAAATCGATATTAGCTCAGCGATCAACTTGGATAAGGAATTTTCATGCTAAATGCCAAAAGCTAATAGATAGCAGAACTTTATCCAGAAACCTTTTCAGTAATGTGTTGAGAAAACGTCCTGCCACAAACGCCGGCCATCTTTGAAATCATACTCAACGCAGTATATCGTTTGATTATACCTAATCCTACTTAAGTCTGCAAATTTCTGTTCCAAATTATGACTGGCCAATAGTCCGATTAATAGCTAACTGCGTAACAATATAATTACGCTTTAAACAGAGCTACAAATTGGACCAAATATGTTTACATGAGGTTACGCCATGACTCACGATTTTATTATGCCCAAGTAACCAGTGCATAGCCCAATTAACTAATTGCGTGACAAACGAAACTATCAAAACGAATACAATGCAAGCCATACAGTTTGGAGACGAACAATACTTTCGCCGTTTATTTTAGCTTAAATCATTGTCCAAAGTTTTAGGGAAGACCCCAGATTAAACGAAGGACTGTCGTGTTGCTGTACTTGGGATAGATTTGATTGAACGTTAAGAATAGACACACTCCCTCAAAAGCTCAAGTATCAGAAGCCAATCCAGCAATGACCAGAGAGGGATTTCTCGGGCCAATGCTTCAGGAATATGCTTGGAAAACTGCTAAATGAGAGAACATACAATCTAATCTGCGCCCCGAAAACATATATTGACACAAAACACAACTACTAATCAAAATCAGCACATCGCCCAATTTTCCCGCCACAAATGGAAGCCATATTAGGAATATGCTAAATATATGTTAACATGTAATCAATTTTACACAAATTTAAACGGCAGAAATGGAATTTGTGCCCCCGAAAACATATATATAGACACTAAAGACGACTACTTAATCAATATCAGCATATCATTACATTTTCCCGCCACAAAATGGCCGCCATGTCGGAAATATGCAAATAGTTAAACATATGATCATGTTATACAGTTGTAAGTGACAGAAATGGAATTTGTGCCCCCAACAACGTAGATATTGACACCAAACAATACTACCCAATCAAAAGCAGCACATCGTCCGAGTTTCCAGCCGAAAATGGTCGCCATCTTGGAAATATCTTCATGAAGTGATGGAAAAAAATCAATCTGAAATATAGTCACGACCGCTGCTAATATTAATACATTGCCAAATCACCGTTGATATGTCGATAACATTATAAAAAAGGTGAAAATAAAAAAAAATAAGTTGGAATATTATCGCAAAATGGCTACCCTCAAATAATGGCCACGGATACTATGAAGATCTACCACGACAAAATGCCAACATTGGTTCTTTGTCATTAAACATTAAAAACTTCAAAATAACGCTTAATCCACGATTTCTTCCTGGAAAGCCGACGGGTGGGAATTATGTAACAAACCGAATCGGACTATTGTCACTTGTTCGGATTGGACAAAGAAGCAAAGTTCTGTGTAAAACATTGGACAAAGGAGCAATGATCTGTGTAAACCTTTGACAGCACAATAAAGATTCCATCACAGTTGCAAATGTAATTTGTGTATCTGTAAGTCCATTATGTATTTTTTAGGTCTTGTTAAAGGATCAATCTCGGATATATTCTTAGTAAATAAAACTGCTTATTCTGTGTGATGTGTAATTATCCCCCGCCTTTCGAAGAAAGCGGGGAACTATTAAAATGGGTTCGTCCGGCTGTCTGTCCGTCACAATATTTGGAACACAATAACTCTCCTTCTAATTGAGCTAGAATTTTCAAACTTGGTGTGGGTGTTTAATAGGTCAACAATGCCTTTATGGAGTTCGAAGATGAGCATTTTCTGCTTAGGGTCAGCAGAGATAAGCAATTTGATTGATTGATGCTTTGGGACACAACAACTTTAGTTCTAATTAAGTGAGTGACGAAACTTGGTGTATAGTTTCATTGTATCAATACCTTGACTAAGTTCGATAATGAGCATTTTCTGCAGAGCGATAAGCAACTTAATTGGTCGAGACTTCGGAACACAATAACTCTCCTTCTAATTGAGCTATAAAGTTCAAACTTAGTGTAGGTGTTTACTAGGTCTTTGCCTTGATGGAGTTCGAATATGTGCATTTTCTGCTTAGGGTAAGCAGAGATAAGCAATTTGATTGGTTGATGCTTTGGGACACAATAACTTTAGTTCTAATTACGTGAGAGTGATGAAAGTTGGTGTATAGTTTTATTACAT